CAACTGTTTCGGCAGTAATTCCCCTAACAGGTACTGCTTCCGGCCATCGTGTGAAACGATCAACACAAGTGAAAAGGTAGGTACATCCATTAGATTCTGGTAGGGGTCCTACAATATCTATATGGACTTGGTAGAAACGCATGTCTCGGGCTAGAAATGAGTCTAGAAGGCTTTTCATGTGCCGCGTGACTTCGCACTTTTGGCAAGCTAAGCACGACTGAGCCCACTCCTTAACGTCTTTGTTCATCCCAGGCCAGCAGAAACGTTGTGTGATAAGCCTGATGGTGGCTCGTACACCTAGGTGAGAGAGTTTGTGCAACGTATTGAAGACGTTGTGTCGACAACTCTTCGGAACTACTGGGCGTGGTTGGCTGGCAGAGACATCGCACAAATTGTATCCTTGTCTGATCCGACCGGACAGAGTCGCAGCTAGAGAGTTGTGGACGACAACTCATGATGCAGCTCAAGGTCTTCCTTTTGATGCAGAGCTAGTCCAACGAGACCAGCGCCGTCGATCTGGCTTATCGAAGCTATTCGTGATAGTGAATCGGCTACGGAGTTATTTAATCCAGAAATGTGGCGGATGTCTGACGTGAACTGGGAAATGTAATCCAGCTGTCGTGACTCACGAGGGGAGTATTTGTCAGACGCCGAGCTGAGGGAAAAGGTTAACGGTTTGTGGTCTGTGAAAATAGTGAGATCACGACCTTCCACCGAATGTCGAAAGTGGCGTACAGAACAGTACATAGCTAGGAGTTCTCTACCAAATGTACTGTATCTTGTTTCCACGTCATGCGGCCGCCTCGAGAAAAAGGCTAACGGTTGCCACTGGTTGTCAGTCAATTGTTGCAAAACTGCTCCAATTGCTGAGTCAGACGCATCAACAGCAATACTCAAAGGAGCATTGGGGCCGTAATGCATACGCACGGTTGCATTCGAAATGGCTTCCTTGACTTCAGAGAAAGCAAGTCTGGCTACGTTGTCCAGAGCCACGAACTTCGTAGTTCCTCGAAGTAGATCTGTTAGTGGTCTCATGACAGAGGCACAGTTGGGGATAAACCTTCAGTAATAACTTGCCAGGTCACTGAAAGTGCGGAGATGCTTCACAGTGGTCGGCTCTGGATAGTTTGTGACAGCCGCCACTTTATCTCTCGATGGGCGTATACCTTTGTTGTCAGTGGTATGCCCAAGGAGGCTGAGTGATTCAACTCCCATTTCACACTTCTGTAAGTTGACTGTGATGCCATGTTTTTTAAGTCTTTCGAATGCGAGGTCCAAATGTTTAAGGTGAGTTTCCTTATCTGGACTCACAATTAGACAGTCATCGATGTAGACATGAAAAAAATTCAAACCACGGAAGACATCATCCATAAAGCGTTGGAATGTTTGTGCTGCATTCCGAAGACCAAATGGCATGCTCAGGAATTCAAACAGGCCAAAAGGAGTAATAATTACTGTTTTCATGATATCTCTGCTGCCGTAGGTATCTGGTTGTATGCTTTGACCAAGTCGATTTTGGAGAAAATGTTCATTCCGCATAAGGTTGTATTCAAATCGTAAACGTGAGGAATCGGGTAGCAATCCGGTGTTGTTTTGGCGTTAAGCCTTCGGCAGTCACCGGTTGGACGCCGGTTGTTGCCATCCTTTTTGGGAACCGCATGCATTGGTGATGCCCAAGGACTGTTTGACGGTCTGATAATCCCCAGTTCGAGCATGTGGTCGAATTCACTTTTCGCCATTTTGAGCTTATTGGGGGCTGGACGGCGCGCTTTGGACGCCACAGGTAAACTTGTGGTTGTGACATGATTCTATCAATTCATAACATTGCATGCACGGAACAGTGTGCTTCAGTTGTTGCAACTCTGGATATTTCTCCAAATCTGCTTGGTAGGACGCGTCGCCCGGTTGTTTGGTTCTAACAAGAGCTAAACTCAGACCTACATAGGTGGTGCCACCAGTAGATAACTTTGTGTTGTTATCTATCAGACACTGACGGCGAACATCTGCGAGTAAGTCGTAATGATTTAGCAAATCTATCACAGTGATGGGCATAGAAACGTCAGACAGGAGGAAAATCCAGTGGATGGGTTTACGTAAACCCAAGTTGAGGTAGGCATACTGTCTCCCAAACGTCGCTATCGCCTCTCCATTAGCTGCCTGGAGATTGAAGGATTGGTCATGATGACGCTCGTTTGTCGGTGCGGGAAGAATATTAACTTCTGCGCCGGTGTCGACGAGGTAGCGAACGTTCGTTTTAATATCCATGAAGTAGAGCAAACGGCTGTTTCCTCTGGCTACGGCTGCCGCGAACACGTGCTGGCATGACGGTTTCCCGAGTTTGTGTGCTCGTTAAAACTGCATGTTTTCCGACATTTTCTGGCTTCGTCTCCGTAAGTACTATGAAACCAGCACCATTTCGGGTTTTCCACCCTGTTAGGTTTAGTTTTGGGGCAACCAAGCGAGTTGCTGCGATGCTCCAGGATGCGTTTCTGTGAAGTGCTACGTGAACTAGGGCTTCGAGGTCGTAGCAGCTGTTTAACAGAGTTGCACAGCTTGGTCACCCCTGAATCCTGGCTCACGGGTTTGTCTCAGACAGAATGTACGTTGGAGACGGGCCTGCTAGAAGTCTCCAGTATTTTATCTGCCGAGGCTGCCAGGTCATCGAGTGGAATGGGCGGCAGTTTCACCAACACGGTTTGCACCGGTTGTGGTAGTTTTGAGAGAAATAGTTCTCGGAGAAAGCCATTGTCGGATGTTCGTGCACCCATAACTTCTCGCATGCGTGTGGGGACTTCAGTAGCTGAGTGGCTGCCTAGCTCGATGCTACGAAGCAGTTCGTCTAGGTGCTGGCGATCTGCGAGATCGCTTTTCTTGAGGAGTGAGGCCTTGATAAGTGTATAAGGATCACTTACTTGAGGATTAAACATGTGTGCCGTAACATGCCAGTTTCCGTGGTAGTGAACGTATGACGGCATGAAGTCGAGAATGAGGGTTTGAGATGTCCTGTTCTCCAAAATCTGCCTGGGCATACAGGAACCGTGTTTCTGCATTGTCTGGCCAATGTGGCACTAGTTGGATCGTGTTCGTAGCCGGCTTAATACGAATAAGCTTGGGGGTGGGGTCGGACATGAGAAAGTGTAGTAGATGGGTACATAAGTGTTACCGAAATGAAAACAATATACAAATATAAAATGGGACAGAATCACCGATTCAATATTCGTTACTGGTCGGGATATGTGACCACGTCGGGCTCACCAATTTGGGATTTGTCCTGATGCATACTTGACAGACGCAAAGATCAACCATTAATCATTCGAAATTGTTATATACCCACGAATGCGAGACCAAGGAAGAACACGATAACGTAGTCGGATGGAGTAGCATACTTGTATGTTTGTGCCAAGATACCGGTGCGTTCCAACTAACTGGCTAGAAAGTCGATTACGAGCAGCGCAGCGTAACATGACAGCGTGCTGAGTGGCGAGGATGCTTGGCCGGGTACCTTCAACTTAGCGAGTCCAGTTAAACTATCGAGGTCAGCATCAATGTTGAATGTCGTCAAACCACAGGCCATTGATTTTGGGGAAGTATGTGACTTTACAATAGGATAAAGTTGGTCAGGGTCGAACTGCCTGTAATTGGCTGTTTGTCGTCACATGTGACCGTTTAGTTGAAGTCCAAGCAAGTTTTTCTACGTCTGAAGAGACAGAAAGTTCAGGTGGAGTTCTCCAGAGTTCTGCACAGTGTCCTCTTCTTTTCATGATCTATAGAAGTAATTTTCCCCAACAGTTCTCTTCTCAAGTCCTTCTTTCTGCCAATGACGTGGAACTGTGGAGAGAAGTCAGAAGCCAGGCATATGGCACTTCTCCATAAGAAGACTTTAAGCAACTTCAAAACTGGGCTGTCAACAGTGGGCTTCCATCCAACCATGAAGAATACAAGGTCGTACATTTTAAACATGATGGATGTCACGTATACTGCTTTAGTGACATAGAACTGGGAGCATCACAGGTGGAGGATTATTTGGAAGTTTTGGTCGCTCAATGCTAAAAATCCCATACCAACGGCGGAAGAAACTCACCTCATAAAACTTGGTGGTGGTAACTCTTAGATGGAGTGTTAGACAATTCAACCGTAGCTGTTTCCACCAGATTTTTAGCAGCTTCATGTGGCCTGAGACTTTGGATTCTACCTCTTCTACAGGAAGACAAACTGAACCTGGAACGCATCCAGAGGTGGTCTACCAAATCTGTCCGAGGACTCACATCAAAAAAATACGAGGAACGACTGGTTGCGCTTGACCTATATCCTCTGGAATGCATAAGACTTGGAGCAAACTTGGTAATGGATTAGTATATTGTAAACACCCCTGGACACTCACCCCATCACTTACTTAACTTTAGTCATAACACCAACTTGGAGGATGCGAGCAGAATTAAGCCTAGAACATGACAGGTTAGATATCAAGCAAAACTTCTACTCCCCAAGAGCTATCAATTCGTGTGACATTCTTCCTGCAGAACTAGCTCAGGCTTCTTTGCCTGAATCCCTCAAAGACCGGCTGGACACCTGTTTACGATGTGGTTTGAGGGTCACTCAAAACTAACTTCTTTTTCCTACTTTAACAGCCATCATTTTTCCCTTTCAGTAACCGATGGGACTTGCAGTCCACTGCCTCTAGACACAGTAGCTAGTTAGGTAGAAGCATCTTCTCTCCAGTTACCAACCGTTTAAACGTTTCTTCAATTTTCAATGCAACTTTGGTCCCGCGGGGGAAGTTTGTTTCCCCTAGGTCATTTCTTTAGGTAACAGTTCTCACACTTCTATCCTTAAGTGTTTTCGTAATTGTTCAAATCCACAGTATTTTCTGCTTGTTTATAGCTCCATCTGCAAATCATTCAGCGTTAGACGGGGCCATAAACAACTCTCTATGAGATATACAATACCCTCTTTGTTAGTGGTTTTCACATAAATACAGTCTGTAATAAGGCTGTCGTGTGATGTCTTGGTATGTCATTTTAGTATTTAGTCGTGACGCTTTATGTAGGAAATCTCTGAGCCGCTTATTATCGGGATTGAAAGGAGCATATAATGATATAAATCCGGCGACATTAACTGGGGCTATCGATGTGATTGTTGTTGAACAACAAGATGGCTCTTTCACCTGTGGTCCATTCCATGTAAGGTTCGGGAAGTTAACGGCTTTTTCTCCAGCGGACAAAACCGTGGAAGTGTATGTTAATGGTGAGTACGTTGACTTCTTACGGATGTGCCTGGGAAGTGCGGGTGACGCATACTTCGTTAATTCTTCGGGACCCGTGGCGGATGAATTTCTGATATCAGATACAGTTGATTGTCGGGGATTCACGCTTGATGATTCATGGTCGGAGCTGTCGATGCGTCGTCGACCACGAAAGGTCCGTCGTGACTCAGCTATGAGTGAACCTGGGACAGAGTCCAATGTAATGAACGAGAATGTTGATGAAACATGTGAGATAAACGATTATGACATTTCTTCCGATTGCGAATCCCCAAACAGTTCAGTGATAGGTTCAATAAGGGATCGAAATGCTATCGGTAATAAATCCGTCTCCGATAGCCAGCTTGACGAGAGTTCGAAAGTTGCTGTTCGCCAATACAGCTGGGATTGGGATTCTAGGAGTCTGACAAAGTCTCAGTCTTCTAGTAACAATTCAGATGCTTCAAATACTGTTGAAAATGCTCACAGGGATTATGGCACGACTCAAGGATCTAAACATGGGAACCAAATGTGTGGTAAGGAGTTGTACTTGGAAGACCTAGTTACAGCAGAAGTCGATCAGAATATTAAAGAAGCCTACATTTATCCTCCATCTCACGGAAGTGTATCTCATCAAAGTCATAGCTATGGGCCAAGCAATGCTACCGATAGTGGATATATTGACCATGGTTATCGATCAGATAATGAGCATTCTCCAAGGAGTATGTCACCTATCAGTCCTCAGATTGTTAGTTTTAAACTCTCACTTTGTGGTGGCTTGTCTCCAGAAAACGTCTGCTCTGAAGAGAAGTTTTTGGAGCACATAGTCTCCTACGAGGAATTTATACATAATCCCAGCGCTATCCTATCTAACCCCAACCTGGTTGTATATTTCAATGGACGTTATTGCAACTGGCAGGTTGCTGCTCCTTCTATTGTCAGTGTGCTTGCATTTCAAACACACCTACCTTATCTAACACTACAACGATTAGAAAGCCAGTATTTGCCTAAGAAACAGCCTAGGCGTACGTCGTGGTTCTGCTGGGGTGCAAGTCATCTACAAACTGCAGCTACAGAGCCAGAACCTATTCTACAACCTAAAAAGGAGAAGGATAAACCATATAGTTCCAACTACAGCTGTTCAGAACCCATACAGGTAGGTTGATCTCTTACTTTCTATTAAAAATTTTAGGAAAGTAGCAATCAACCAATGACCGGAGTTAACAGGCTTTCTTCTAATGAAGTGGCAAGATTGAAACTCAAACCTGGTCGGAACGACATAGAGTTTCGCGTAACTACGAAATATCAAGGAACATGTACATGTTCAGCCTCTATTTATTACTGGCACTGGTATGACAGGATAGTTGTTTCAGATGTTGACGGCACTATTACACGCAGTGATCTGCTTGGACATCTTCTTCCAATGTTGGGCCATGACTGGACACACTCGGGAGTTGCTCGGCTGTACAATCGAATTCGAAACAATGGTTACCAGTTCCTTTATCTGTCAGCTCGTGCCCTTGGACAAGCAGGAATAACCAGAAGCTACTTACGGCAAGTTGTCCAAGACTCAGCTTCTAGGCTACCCGATGGACCTATATTGGTGTCTCCTAATTCGCTTCTCCATGCTTTCCACCAAGAGGTTATTATCAATAAACCTGAAGTATTTAAAATACAGTGTCTGCAGAATGTATGCGATCTTTTCCCCAAGAGTTACTCGCCTCTTTATGCAGGATTCGGTAACAAAGTGAATGATGTTTTTGCATATCAGAAAGCTGGGATTGAGCTTTGTCGTATTTTCACAATTAACCCACGTGGAGAAGTTCGTAATGAGTATCAGTGCTTGAGAAGTACAACTTACCAAGAGTTGAGTGACACAGTAGACCTCTACTTCCCATCCCTCTCTAATTCTCAGGCTATGCCAATTTCATATTCAGTGGAATTTGATTGCAATTCAAGACATACATCAGAAAAACTAACAACACTCGATGGGCGTCTATCCGACCCTTCATTTGACGTTATACCTATTGATTTGTCTACATTTTCTAGTTTTTCTTTTTGGAAATCTAACTTTGAACTTTCTTTTCCACCCCCAGAGTTATCGAATAACTCTTAAAATATGCACGCTTGGAAACCCATAGTTTTTTTGAGTTATATTTACTTTCACACAACTCTATCCAACTAAATTTTGATATCGTACCGCTCATTTTATATAGTCTTTCAGGTATTTATTTTATGAGCCGAAGCCCATTTTCCTAAAAATGATGTGCCTTAATTACAATTTGATTGAGTTCTACTACCTTTTACAGAGCTTTTTGTTTACCATATTATTAAAAATTGTGTTCAGTTGCTCTTCGTAACTTACTTTTCAAGTGAATATAAAAATGATGAATTACTTGCAGTTCTAATGTTGTTTTCAAATAAAGTAACCTAACATGATCGAAATTTTTAGGCTGAACTACAGGACATCTTTTCAACAGAAAGTTGTTTTGAGCAAGCAGCAGCACATCTACCTCAACTAGTTAATTCTCTGGACCCGAATGTGCTACTTTACTTCTATGCTAGGTACAAGCAGGTCAGTTATCTAATATTTTCCTACCCGTTTGACTCGATATCGGAGTTTACCGTATAACAGGAATATTTGATTTGCATTCTCGATTCATTCAAAGTACATTCCTCAAAAGAGTTCACTTTCTCTTAAGAAAATGTTCGTTGAATTGCTGAACAGATGACAACATTATGTCTCTTGAGGTCGAGTCATTTTATTAAGCCTGGGTAACTGTTAGCAGTGAAGTGGTTAATAGCTGAATAAATGTTAGTGGTGATGGACGTAACTTCCTAGTTTTGGCCTGGTTTGTTTGATACAGTGAACATTATCCTTAGGCTTGCTAATTTCTGATACCGTGAACTTATCAGAATGGTGTACGTTACATATCCAACTTTTCCTGATGGTCACTCATCTTAATACTAAGCAATTCTCTGATAAATTTGGTTCACCAGGAACTTACCGTCCGACGAATCTCACTAGTTTTCATTCAGATTGTCATTCCAGATTTGATGTTTATGATTTGTTGAACTTTCAAGGTTGAATACGGTTGACTTAATATAATATGACACAGGGGTAAATAGTTGTTGGGGCCTGTAGAATACTGGGAACTAGTGTTGGTACTCATTGCGACTACTGTCCCATAAAGCCATAACAAATTTATTGAAGTCACCAACTCACAAAGTTCACAGTAACTTCTTTGTTCAAAAGATGTAGAAGCTTCATTATCCAACTGTAGTTCTAAACCATGCAATCATGTAGCTTTTGGCTACTGCTCAAGTGATTTTTAGCTTTTGCTAGTTAGAAACCACGTCATTTTTGTGGGGACTAATTTTATCAAGGTGCCAAAAGCAAACTCTTGGTTTAAAACCTATAATTCGTTAATAATACGTTACCTGGATTACTAAGGTAACTTCACAAATGATTAGTTGCCTTCCATATTTTCAGAGAAACCATAATAGATCTACTGTGTTGTCTTCTTCTGTGACATGTCTTCCTAAATTGTCAATCGAGAGTTTCGTCTTTTCCCAGTCAAATGAGTACGCCAATGAAGTACGCTTTGGTCCCACTCTGGCAGAGTGTGAGCTTTTCTGACATCCACCATTCTTATTCTTTTGCTTGGCAGTGACTTATTTCCAAGCATCAATTTTGTTATAAATTATCGTCATACTTACAGAATAGTGGTTGTACAGTGCTGTTCAACAAATGTTGTAAGTGAAAAACTAGTTTATACGTTTCATCAGTACTTGCAGAGTTAGGCTCGATTTCACGGAGTCACCTGATCCTGCCACCGTTTTGCTGGTAAGAAATAAAGTGATGGGCTGTATGTCCTACTCCATATACTAGGAAAAATAAGCTTCTGGAGTGTTTGTGGAACTTATTCGGAAACAAACCTGGTCAGTTTTATGAATATATACCACTAATTATGAGCCCCGAAAGAAGATATAAAGAGGTTGCTTACTTGACCACCGGTGTTTTCGTATCACTGTCCTAGTATGGTGGAGTCACCATATTAACAGTATCAGGGTTAGATGCGGAGTATTATTCAACAGAAGCATGTACATTTATGAAGTTGTAATGCTTCACCTACTTGGGTTGCTTGGACGTGTGCTTCTCATGCTGAAACCGTTTCTTAGCAATGTTAGCCGAAGTAGGGTTAGGCTGAAAAAAGCCAAGGGCAACGAGACGAAAACCTGGCACCCGTCCATGAAGTTTTCAACTGTTGTTCCTGCCCATGTACGTTGTTTACGGGTTGCCTGGTTAGGGTCTTCGAGATAACGGGAATCAGTGGTTGTAGATCATTGGTGGCTGGGCATAAATTCATTCACTGTGACTCAAGAGTATTTACACTTTGTCATCTCCGAAGTTTTGAGTATTTTAATTAGCCTCTACATGTTTATTCTCTCTCCTCATATACATTTGTGTACCTTAATGCCATTTCTTATTTGCATGCTGCTGTGATGTGTGGCAACTTAATGTGATGCACTTCTGTAAGCAGTTGTACATTGACTTGCTTATCTCTGCTTTATTCACAAATTACTGCTACCTCGACATGGTATTCGGTCTTGCATATCATAATGACTCCACTAGCTATCATGGTAGGAGCATTATTTGCTTGAGTTTCTACCATACCAGAAAAGTTTGTTGGATAGTAGAGAGAAAAATCAGTTACCGTCATGGTGTAGATTGCTACATTATGGTGGTCGGTCCTGAGAGCAAAGTATTACAGCTGGCTAAATCCGGGTGCAATAGCGATAACATGTTTTTCTTGGGTGACCAACAGTGCCATGCTGATGCTGCTTCCCTAATAGGGAGGGGTTAGAAACATTTGGCCTCGAAGGTAGCACACTCCTTTATACCCTGCAGTCTGCTGGTGTCGTTGGTATAGGTTTCTGGCAATTCCAGTCATTGAAAGTTAAATCCAAAACTTTTAAAAATGAGAGTGCAGCCAGCTTCAAGTAGATGTCACTTAAACTGTATGATCATGCACCACTATTACTAGTTCGAATAAAATAATACAATGTTCATAGTCTATACCTATGCAAAGCGTAAATACGCCTTTGCTACTTCAGTCATTTCTGGACTAGGTCTTTACAGGTGTTCACCGATCAAATTTAGCTGTTAAGAGTAGCCTAGTTAGAAAATAATTTCCGAAGGTTATATCGATCCAGCAGTTAATCCAAGGATTTCCTATCACGTTCTAAACTGTTGTGTTGTTTAGTACATCTGTAATCTTGCCACCATTTAGTGTGGAAGCAGATGAAGTATCTGACTGGTTGCACGTTCACAACCTAATGAACTGGCCGAAAAACAGTTCACCAAATAATATGGGAAGAAGTGATAGATACGAACGAACTGGGACTTATGATAAAAACTGGAAGTAAGACTGATGTTTTCTGCAATGTATTGTAGTTTCCAGTCACACTTTTTAATTGCCTGCTGGACCGCAACCAGACAGACTATACTCCTCCACATCGATAAGACCAGCAGTCAGTGATTCCAAGGATGTTATTTTCTAGCCCAGTTCCACTTCAACAAATACATGTTAATGGCATACAGTGACTGGAATACGTAACACGCGTCCTGGTTACCTCAGTAAAATATTACAATTTCATCGACTGATTTTCTTCACTTATCTTCACTACTCAAATCTTGGTAGCAACATATGTAACATGTTACGAAAGCAAAAGTCTTCAAGCATCCACCTATACTGGTCAGGCTCCATAGCTATGCTTTCCGTCAGATAGTGGTGCTGAGTATTACACCGCTCTCCGTAGACATTAAAATACTTTATCCATACTATGGGTGACGTAGTTGACAACAGCTGATTGTGTCTTTTCTATAGAGACGTCTGTATCTGTAGAGAGGTTTCATCGCCCACTAGTGTTCTTCAAAGGCCTTGACATGGTTGAAGGTGGGTCAACTCTTCAGTCATCCTGTCGAAATTCTCTCATTCGACCCGTCTGTCGGAGAAGTCCTACTCGCTGCCTTCAATCTATTATCTTTCAGCCATTATTTTTAAATGCCTTTGTCTGGATCATTGCTTCACTCAGTTGTTTGTTACCGACTACAATTCTGGCGTCTGCATCGTCTTGATTTGCTAAATAGTTGCTTCTAAAAAGCTGTTCGTCATTGCGTTATCTTACACAACTACTCTGAAACCGCACGAACCACTCGAAATTCGAATTGTTATGCATATCGAACAATAGACAGGTTTAACCGGAACTGTGGAAGGTCTTGTTATTGATGTAAGCTGTATCTCCAGTTACCTGCATGCAAGATCTCAATGAAGTGCTTCAAATTACTTCCCCATCTGTCAGGTCAAGAAGAGTGTTCTCTGTGGTGTCAGTAACCTGCCTTGCTGGTGCCAGAGTTGAAGTTGCATTGGTCAAATGGACCCGCATCAACAGTCGTCCGTGCTGCTAGACTAGAAGACCCGATTGCAGCGAGAAGTAACTGACAAGGGAAACGATGTCTCCTCGTCGTTTATACATATGCCCCGACTGACTGGAGTTTGGATGTAGTTAAGGATGAGTTCTGTCATTGACTGAGTGACCTCGAACATGTACGCTCGGAGAATATCATATTGCTAGCTGTGGATGAGCAGTTTGAGCGTGTATACCAAAAGATTAATCATTTAGTTGACCCATGGAGGTTAGTCAGTTGCAAGGCAGGCAATGGCGAACAACTGCAGCTTTACGGAGATCACAACTTGCCTCTAGTCAGTGCCAACTCGGGGCACGACCACTTCTGCTGTACCACATGGCGTCCTCATTCTACCACTGAAACCTGGACTGAGATAGTATTGCAATTAGCCACTGATGACGTGGGTTTATTCGGAACTGCCGCTTCTTCTGGAACACCTGATCATGCTTCATTGAATGCCAAGTTCACCTTGCGTTTAGATGGTCATCGAAACCGTTCGTAACGGGTCGGCGTAAGCAAACTGGTTGAATCTAGTGTTCCGACTAAATACCAAAAAAGCTAGATTGAAGGCCATCTATGGGACCTTGAGAAAGTATAGATAAGTATAGTATAAATAATTTACCGATCGCCAATTTTTGTCGATACGTAGTACACTTGGTGAAGCGCTTTGAAAAGCAGCTCTAACGACCTACTACTCCAGCAACTTTGACGTCATTATCTCGTGCTCTGTGGTCAGTTTATACTGAACCATCGAACAAAGCGATGGTTCGTATGGAACTGAAGGCTCTAAAGCACTACAAAGTTTATGGTTCAAACAATCTATCATCGACTGCTTTTGAGGATGAAGATGTAGTCGAGCAACTGAATATATTATTTGGGAAGGTATGACAGACTGAAAGTGTTCCTGAACGCTCGAGTCAAGCCATTATTATACGCTCATTCAAAAGGAAGTCTATGTAATATATCCTAGACTAATCAAGGTATCAGCCTGCTATTAACAGTATCAGAAATATTGGTGGGCAACGTGTTTCGTAGGTTCCTCAGAATACACGGGAAGCCGATTCGTGAGGAATGGGTTGAGGTTTTTTTTAACGTCGTGGATG